GAGAGAGAGAGAGGTTACAAGTTATAGGCTTGGAGGTTACGTACATCACGGGTGAACCCACTCAGCAGACTTGATACGCTCATCTTCCCACTCCATTTTGCTATCTCCATCTATGTGTTCTATCTACAAATAGAGGGAGGACAGTAGAGTTGGTACGCTCATTTTCCCATTCCAATCCTTCCCACCATTTCTTTTTCCTTGCAATTTTTCTGAGCATTTCTGCTTCCTGAAGATCCAGAGGGAGCCTTTTCAACTTGGGACATTTCCATACAAAAATACGTTCCAACGAACACCATGCCATGGGGATCTCACAGATGCTCCTCAATTCTACCAACTTTTCTAGTTCTAAGTTTCTTAATTTGGGGAGGGTGATGTTTTGGTCCACCTGCCCTCCATTAATTATCTCTTCTAATCCTCTGCAATTTGCTATCCTCATCTCTTCCAAGCATTGGAGACATCGTACCACATTTGCCAATAACACATTCGTCAATCCATCACAATTCGAAATAGTCAAAGATGTGAGATTGAGAAGATGATGGTCTCCATCTTCCTGCCAAATTCTCCTCACAACTGGCAAATTACAGAGCCTCAAATAATTCAAGCTCTTGAAGCCGGGAACAACATCAAGGGCAACAAAATCCAATTGAGAACATCTTTGAATACACAGCTCATCCAACCTTTCCACGGGCGGTAGTTGCACAAGACTAGTCAAACCTTCGCACCCTACTACATCTAGTCCTTTTATCTTATCAAATATCTTTCGATGCCATTGTTTTTTGTTGGAAAATAGGCCGTTCCCATTAGTGCTTATCCGTAATGAACTCAAGCGCTCCAAGTCTTTAAATTCCTCCCAACATGCTGCTTCTGTGCTGCTACTTCCTTCTCTTTCCATCATTTCCCAATCCACGTGTCTGCTATACATGATGTTCAGCTCCTCCAGACATGATAGCCTTGATATAACCCCATGTTTTATGGATTCAACATCTTCAGTCCCTTCTAGATGTAGAAGCTTTAAGTTGGCTAGTTCTCCCATCCCCTCCGGCAATCTTTTGATTTTGGTACAGGCCAAATCCAGCACTTAGAGTTGCTGAAGTTGTCCTACATGACGAATGTCAACTAGGTTGTAACAATTGAATGGAGAAAGGTAATGGAGATTCTTCATGTTGGATAACGATTATGGCAGAGAGTCGATGCCAGTTCGACAGAGATCCAGCACCTTTAGAGCACCCATACATTCAAAGAAGCCCTCCGGAATGTTATTCAACTTTATATTGTCTCTGAGTATCAATGTCGTGAGAGCCTGCCACATCGGCGGATTGGAAGTCTCTCTATTTCATTGTGCATCAGCGATATGCATTGGGCCTCTCCCCATTTTTCTACCCTGCGTGCTTCCTTCAGTCCCAATCCTGCATCCACAATTAGACCCCCGGCTGAGCGGATACGTATGGCAACATCTCGGATCACATCATGAAGCTTCACATAATAATCTGTTCCAGGAACTTTCTCTATCATGCATGAGTCGATCAGGTTTTCAATTAGAGCATGGCTTTTGTTTCTAGCATCCTCCACACTATCCACTCTGCCTAGGAGCCCCTCGCACATCCAACACTCTGCCAAACTATTCTTATCTATTTCGTTGTCCTCTGAAAATAGGGAGCAATACAAGAAACATTGCCTAATGTTCTCATCTTGTAATTGGTCGTAACTATACTTCAAGGGCACAAACACTTCACGTTCCATACCGTCGATCTCCATTGTTGCTTCCCGTAAAGCCCTTGATGCATTCTGCCACACATGCACATTATCCTTGTCTCTCAACGCACAACCGACTACGATGATGGCGAGTGGCAGGCCAGCACATTCTTTGACAACCTTACGAGCGATGGGTTCTATGGAAGGGAGACCTACCACATTTCTTGCTTTTTCACGAAACAAGATCCACGCTTCCTCCTCTATTAAAACATCCACTTTAATTTTGAGGTCAGTTTCCATCCGATTGCACACTATTACTGATCGAGTGGTTATTACAATCTTACATTTATTTTTTGGGTTTGGGTGAGGGACTCCCATAGCATTCAAATCCAGCTTTTCCCACAAGTCATCTACTATAAGCACAAATCTTTGCTCCTTCAAAGCAGAAAACAATCTCTCTACAATCATATCTTCATCTTCAACATTCATGCCCAATTTTTTCATGATTTCTTTTTGAATTCTAGTTATGTTCACATCTTTTGACACAGTGATCCATATCACTCTCTTAAATTCTCGATTTTGTGATAGATGATTGTTGATTTCATGCATAAGAGTTGTCTTTCCAATGCCACCCATACCGTGATTGCCAATCACACCCAATTCATTGT